CTATAGGGCACGTGCGCTTGCCAGACAGACAGAGAGAGACAGAGAGACAGAAAGCGAGAAATCACCCCCCAGAAGGGATGGTCACGCTGCAATCCCTTCTCCTCCATTCTCCTCTCGGGATCTTGGGCACGCATGCACATGCGCCCGTTGTGAGTTTTAAGCCACCGGGTCCGGGACATGAATCGCGGTCGACTACGTGGGAGTCTAGCGACATAGCCATTATGCTAACTGCTGGTCCCCTGATTTTTTTTTTTTTAGAGAGAAATTTTTGCTATAGGTTTCATGTGCTCACCAGAGAGACAGAGAGAGAGAAAGTGAGAAATCATCCCTCAAGGGGAATGGCCACATCACAATCCATTCTTCTCTCAAGATTTTGGGTATGCATACATACATGTCCAGCATGTTTCAAACATCTGGGTCCAGGACTCAAATTGTGGTTGACCATGTGGAAGTCCAGTGCCTTAACTACTATGCCACTGCTTGCCCCCAAATGGCTATGATTTAAAATAATAATAATAACAAGTGCTAGCAAGGTTACAAACCAAAGAGAACCCTCATGTGAACTGCTGGTGGGAATGTAAATGAACCAAGAAGATATAATGCTAAGCGAAATAAGCCTGGCTATAAAAGACAAACACTGTATGTCTCTGCTTAACACATACTGAATGTATGCACTCTGTGGTAGAAACTGAAGGACTTGATGGCATAGAAGTAGAGTAATAGCAGATAATAGAAGCTGCATGAGGAGAGAAGGTTGGTTTGGTTCAAGAGAAAATGATTAACAGATGCAAGAATGCATGTCAAGAAGTGGAATCAATTATGGAATGGTGTACCACAGCAGAGTAAAAAAATGTCATTGACAATTCATTACATACTTTTAAAAAATGTGTATAACATAATGCAATGTTCAATGTTGAAGAAGCATAAGAGCTGGGTAGAGAATGGTGAATATGAAAATATGAATATATCTATATCCTTGATTATTACACAGTGTATGTACACTTTGAAAGCTATCTTGTATACAGCACAAAAATGTACAATGATTATATGTAAAGTAGAAATTATAATAAAAAAAGAATGTGAGTATGCACTTTACCCAGGTTTATTTTTTCTCCTAAATTTATGAAGTTTTATTGATTAAACAAGGTACCACTACTCCTATATATTGTTAAAGATTAGGAAAAATTAGTATTAATATTTAAGTAAAATAAATTATTACTCTCATAAATCCGTTTTCAAGAGGAATTATGTTTTCTAGTACATCAGCTTGGAGGTAATTTTCAAGCTCTTTAGGTAACTGGAAACTTGGACATCATGATGTTAAATGTAGTTAGTAAATAGATATTTATCACATGCCCATATCATTTCTAAGTCAGAAAGCAAACTGAAACATTAGTTACTAAGCATCATAAGTTGATGTACTTTTGCTTATTTATTTTTATTTTTTAGAGACTTTTTTCCTATAGGTTGTGTGTGCTTGCTGGAGAGACAGAGAGACAGAAAGCGAGAAATCACCCCCTCAGGGGATGACCATGCAGCACCCCCTTCTCCCCCATTCTCCTCTCAGGCTTTTGGGCATGCACATAGACACGTACATGCGCTCAGCCTGAGTTTTAAGCCACCAAGTCCAGGACTTGAACCATGGTCAACTATGTTGGAGTCCAGCAACATAAACATCATGTCATCTGCTGGTCCCTTGCTTCTTATTTTATATGTCATAGAAAAGCTCTCTTTGGCGCTGTTCAGAAACTTGTTCATTTTTGCCATGTTGGAAAGTTGTAAAGGGATGTAAATGGCTGTAGAAATTTGGGTTAGGTATAATCCTGAGTTTAGCTAGTCCTCTGAAATGACAAACTGCTCATAATTATTCATGCCCCAGTTTTCTCTGTGAAAATGAAGTGAGTTCTTTTAGCTAAAATTTAGAATTACTATCAGTGGTGGCAACTACACTGAGGAGCAATGGTGGCAGAGAAACCATGCCTGTGCTTATGTTTTACAAGAATACAAAGGAACAGCAATGGCTTGGAAATGTTTTGGTCTCCAGCTCTCTTTACTGCCTTAGGATTTATTGAGAGCTCTAAGGAACTTTGATTACTGTGGGTTGTAACTATTGATATTTGCCAGATTAGGAATTCAAACAGAAAAATATTAATATCTATTGAGTCATTTGATTATAGTAATGATAAATTCATTGTATATTTGACATAAATACTTTCTTTTTTTTAAAGAGAGATTTTTGCTATAAGGCACATTCACTTATCAGAGAGACAGAGACAGAAAGCGAGAAATCATCCCCTGGGGGATGGCCATGCCATAATCCTTTCTCCTCCATTCTCCTCATGGAATTTTGGGCACGCACGCACACATGCCCAGCGTGACTTAAGCCACCAGGTCCAGGACTTAAACTGCCATCAACTATGCCATAACCATTACGCCATCTGCTGGTCCCATAAATAATATCTTAATATTATTATGAAATTAGTTGTGACCTTGTGGGTTCCTGATATCTGTCCACAAGCAATATGGCATTTGCTTCCAGAATGTGAAAGAGAACAGTGAAAGACAAAACTTGGAGAGAAAATTTTTCTTAGTTCAGTTTTTTTTCGTTTTCTCTCTCTCTCTTTTTTTTTTTTTTTTTTTGCCATAGGATGTGTGCGCTTGCCAGAGAGAGACAGAAAGAGGAAAAATGAGATGACCAAGTAGCAATTCATTCCTTTTTACTTATTCTCCTCTCAGGATTTTGGGCACACACGCACATGCACCTGACATGATTTTCAAGCATGCAGGTCCAGGACTCAAACTGTGGTCGATCATGTGGGAATCCCAGCTCCTTAATGCCACACCACCTGCTGGTCCCTGGAAAGTGAATTTTACTTGCCCTGGTTTATGTAAGACTTGAGTTTTGGAAGAAGCTATGCAATTTCTTCACATAGTTGCAAAGATTACTAAATTTTCATGAGTTTGTTGCATATTTACTTGGCTTACCATTTACAACCTTCGCCTAAAACATGAATGGTTATTGCTTTTGTTGTTTATTTTGTTTTGTTTTGGAACAGGATCTCATTCTGTCACAATTCTCCTTCCCCAGACTCCTATGTAGCTGGGAATATGGGCATGTTACCATGACCAGCTTTTGAGGTTGCACTGATAATTGAACAAGGCCTCCCATGAGGCCTAAGCCTGTAAAATATCAGCATCCTGCATGCACTACCATGGTTGGGCCATTCTGACTTTCTGTCTAATCTGTGTGGACAGAAAAGACCCTATTCTTTTCTTTTCTTTCTTCCTTCCTTCCTTTCTTTCTTTCTTTTTTCTTTTTTCTTTTCTTTTTTTTTTTTTTTTTTTTTTTTTTTTTGACCAGTGTTAGAGAGGAATCCCTCAAGGAGCCCTTCCTGCCCAAGGACTACACTGTTGCAGAGATCTTCTAATCACCAGCTACGGGCCCAGCTGGGGATGGAATGGGTACCTCTGCTGGCTTTGCTCTCCCTCCCGTTTCTGAAGCTGTCAAATTTTTAGCCACTCTCCAGATGCAAACCCAGGAGGTTAGAAAATACCCTATTTCTGAACTAAATAGATGTCTGTGCTTCATATTGTTTTTTATCATGTCCTTAATTTTTAATTGCCACAGGGGGCATGTACTTGCTAGAGAGTGACAAAAAGAGAAAGTGTGAGAAAGTACATCCCAATGGGCCATGGTCACATCACAATCCCTTCTCTTCATTTCTCCTTCCTGTTGAGATTTTGGGCATGTATACACATATTCTCAGTGTATTTTTCAGGCCCCCAGGGCTAAGATTACAACCGTGGTTGGTCATGTGAAATCTGACTCCCTTAACCACTAGGGTATGGGGCCAACCATATCAAGTCCTTGGATTTCGAAGGGGGGAAAAATACTAAGAACAAAGTTTTTGCAGCTAAGTTCTTATACTTGTATTACTTTTTTTGTTGTTTTTATGTGACTTGTCAACATGGTTAAATAAATTACCAGAACTGTTTCTCAGGCAGCTGTGATCCTATCTTAATCAGATGTCCAAATCTATGACATTTGTGACTTTATCTTTCCTAAAATGGGACAAAATACAGAAAAATTCAATAAAATTCAACTTTCAGGATATTTTCTATACTTAAAACTATTGTTATGGGGCTAGTAGGTAGTGTAGTGGTTAAGGTGCTGGATTCCCATATGGTTTGAGTCCGTGACCTGGTAACTTGCTTTCTTGCTTTACCTATTTCTCTCTGTCTCTCTCTGGTGAGCACACATACCCTGTAGCAAATTTAAAAAAATAAATAAATAGAAACCAGCAGTTAGGATAATGGCTATGTCACTGGACTCCCACGTAGTCAACCGCGGTTCGTGTCCCAGACCCGGTGGCTTAAAACTCACACCGGGCGCGTGTGTGTGTGTGCCCAAGATCCCAAGAGGAGAATGGAGGAGAGGGGATTGCGGCGTGACCATCCCCCCTGGGGGGTGATTTCTCGCTTCCTGTCTCTAATGTCTCTCTCTGTCTGTCTGGTGAGTGCACGCGCCCTATAGCGAAAACCTCTCCCCCCAAAAAAATAAAATAAAATAAAATAAATAAATAAACACAATTAAATTTTTTAAAACCCTATTATTATGGTTTCACATAAAAGGGTTGTTAGGACATCAAGATTGCTGACTAGAAACATCTATCCAGGTAGATGTCTCTCTGAGAAGAAAGGCTTAAAAAATAAAACTTTAGGGACCAGTAGTTGGCATAATGGCTATATCACTGGACTCCCATGTAGTTGACTGCAGTTCGCGT